TGACGGCCTGGATGAAAGCAGACTTTCACTGGATTTCCACAACAATGAGGTTGTGTCTGACATCACACAGAAGTCTTCAGTCAACGTGCTGTTGACAAACCTCATCAAGGGCAATCTGCTTCCCTCGGCTTTCGTCTGGATAACTTCCAGACCTGCAGCAGCCAATCAGATCCCTCCTGAATGTGTTGACAGGGTAACAGAAGTACGAGGCTTCACTGACGCCCAGAAGGAGGAGTACTTCAGGAGGAGATTCAATGAAGAAGATCTGTCCAACAGGATCATCTCACACATCAAGATCTCCAGGAGCCTCCACATCATGTGTCTAATCCCAGTGTTCTGCTGGATCACTGCTACAGTTCTGGGTCACATGTTGAATACAGACCAGAGAGGAGAGCTGCCCAAGACCCTGACTGACATGTACTCACACTTCCTGCTGGTTCAGACAAAGAGGAAGAAGCAGAAGTATGATGAGGGACATAAGAAGAGTCCACAGGAGCTGATGGAGGCTGACAGGGAAGTTCTTCTGAAGCTGGGGAGGCTGGCGTTTGAACAGCTGGAGAAAGGAAACATCATGTTCTACCAAGAAGACCTGGAGCAGTGTGGTCTTGATGTCACAGAGGCCTCGGTGTACTCAGGAGTTTGTACAGAGATCTTCAAAAGAGAGAGTGTGATCTTCCAGAAAACAGTCTACTGCTTTGTTCATCTGAGCATTCAGGAGTTTCTGGCTGCAGTCTACATGTTCCACTGTTACACCAACAGGAACACAGAGGTATTGAAGGACTTCCTAAAAGACTACAGCAAGGACACAAAACCAAAGACTCTTCTAGAGAAGATTTCAATTTTTTTTAGATATGATGATAGCTTTGGCCCATCCCTGGATGAGTTCCTGTATAAAGCCATGGAGAAATCCCTGAAAAGTGAAAATGGTCATCTGGACCTGTTTGTTCGCTTCCTTCATGGCCTCTCTCTGGAGTCCAACCAGAGACTTTTAGGAGGCCTGCTGGGTCAGACAGATAACAGTCCAGAAATCATCCAGAGAGCCATCAACAACCTGAAGGAGATGAACAGTGATGATATCTCTCCTGACAGAAGCATCAACATCTTCCACTGTCTGATGGAGATGAACGACCACTCAGTCCATCAGGAGATCCAAGAGTTCCTGAAGTCAAGGAACAGATCAGAGAAGGAACTCTCTGAGATCCACTGCTCAGCTCTGGCCTACATGCTGCAGATGTCAGAGGAGGTTCTGGATGAGTTGAACCTGAAGAAGTACAACACATCAGTCCAGGGACGACAGAGACTGATTCCAGCTGTGAGGAACTGCAGAAAGGCTGTGTAAGTCCAGATGTGATTAACATTATAAAGTAGTGTAAATTAGTTGTTAATATAATCTTTTTTTCAGCAGTGATGAATATTTATGTGCTCTTTACAACTGAGTTGATCCAGACTGTGGATAGCTAGTTAGCAGCCAAATACCAGATTAAAACAATTAAAATAAACCAGAGATAATACATTTCAGAGCTGTGGAACTGGAACAGGAGCCGATCAACTGATTGATCATTCTCTCATGGAAATTCTTCCCAAAGTTGAGAGGTGCTAAGTCTCTGAAGAACTTTCAAGCCGGTGTGATAATCAAGTCACTTTAATTCATGCTGCATGGAGAGAAGGTCACGTCGTGGATGTTCTCTCCCGACTTCCAAAATGCTCTCCCTTATATACATTTCAGTGCATCTCATTACATCACAAACAATGAAACCCCCTGTGTGTCTTGCAAATGTTACTCCTGTAAATCCAGGTCTCTCTCACCAAATGGTCCTTTGATGTGTGACTTCCCCCTGGCTCTTCCTATCATAAACTCAACCTTTTGACCAGGGGCACATCTATTTTATTACCCCCAAATCCTGTTTCTCTCCCACAATTCTCTCGTGATTTCTCTTTAATTTAAATCCCAAATGTTAGTATCATTTGTTACAGCCCTAACTAATAGTACAAATTAATTACTTTACTTTTCATTAAGTATTAGTAGCAGTCATGTTCTCAGTAATGTTTTACAGATCCCTGTTTGAAGTTTTGTATTCAATAAAGTTAGAAATATAGAAAACAAAAAAACCCATCTTCCATCTTGAAGTTAGGGGATGTACGACCATGATTTCAACTTTGTCAATCATGAACAAGGCCAGGTGTGGGCGGTCCTCAGTTACGTCCATATTGACCATACACGGTCTGGCCATATACTAGGTTTCAACCTCCTCTTTTTAATCTATTTCTAAATTTCACATTATTTATTACCTCCACCAAGGAGGGTGTGTTTTCAGTGCTGCTTGTTTGTTTGTTTGTCAACAGGATTACTGAAAAACTATTGCCCAAAATGTCATTTAACTTGGTAGAAGGGTGTACTCTTCGTTAACAAGCAATACAGGTCAATTATAATACAGAGATATGTAGAGGATGTACTTTTGTATTATTTGTACTTATTTGCATAGACTGACTTTTGGCCTTGGAGGAAGTCTCCGCTCTCAAATTGTCCTTTCAGTTTTATTTAAATTGAGTATGTAACTGACACTGTGGCCAAGGGATATTATGGGATGATCTTGAATGCTATAACATAGTGATTTGGTAAAGAATAGTCATCACATCAGTGAACTGATTCAGTACACAACAATATCTATCTAAGGTTTATTAATATTATATCATACATTACATTTTACTTATGAATGTTTCATGTTAAAGAGGAAATTTGTGTTACACAGTGTTGTTTTTAAGTCTTTTCTTATATTCTGTTACTGACAAGAAGAGTAGTAGCAAGAAGGGCACAGCTCCCACCAATAACAGAGGTCTGATCTATATATAAGAGCAGAGGGGTAGAATTCAGACTTTTAAAGAGATCTTATATGCACAAAAGGTCAGTTTTTAATTCTGATGTACTGTTAAAATCTTCCTGATGACATTATGTTGAAAACAATGAAACCTTATTGGTTTGTTGTCGGACGCTCAGAAAAGAATCATGACAAAGAGAGACCATCCTTCCCAACAGTAACTGTACACTGAGTTGTAAAAATGTCTTTCAAATCAAGATGACCTCATGCTATCTCTGTAGAGACAGACATGGGATCAGATCACACTGACAGACTGTGGACATTATGGTTGTTGTGAATTATTTGATGTCACTGAATAATTTAATTCTTGTTTACTTTAAAAACTGTGTGAAAATGTCTTTTACTTTTTAATAGTAATAATTCATTACTGTTACTTTAGATAGATAGATAGATAGATAGATAGATAGATAGATAGATAGATAGATAGATAGATAGATAGATAGATAGATAGATAGATAGATAGATAGATAGATAGATAGATACTCTATTTATCCCGAGGGAAATTCAAGGACCATGGTCCATGATAATCGAAAATGCTTTTCTTTTGAAGCGCAGGGAAGAATCCTGTTGAGTGTTTGTAGCTAGCTCTGGTGTGGACATAAATATGATGCAAAAGTCTGCTTTGTTTATGTTTGTCTCATCTTTTCTTTTGCTGCAGCATATTGACATGTAAAATGTTTAGTTTGAAGGACAACTGTTTTGGTCATTATTTAAGGCTTCCACTACACATTAATGGAATCCTAAATGTAACCATATTTTGTCTCCCTTCGTCTGCAAGATGAAAGCCAAAAAAAATATTAAAAGTCTTCAGGTATGAGAGAGAGTGATGAGAATGATTGTTTCATGTCAAACACAGTGAGATAAGATTATCTGAACCACTGATGTGAAAAGCAAATGTTCATCAAAACAGGAAATGTCAAATTGTTAAAATCCATAAAGTAAATATAAAGTGTGTCTTTCATAATAATGTATTTTCTAATATGTGTCATTACAGACTTTCTGACTGTAGACTCTCAGAGACTCACTGGAAAGTTGTGGCCTCAGCTCTGAAGTCCAACCCCTCCCATCTGAGACATCTGGACCTGAGTAAGAACAAGCTGCAGGATTCAGGAGTGAAGACACTGTCTGCTGGACTGCAGAGACCAAACTGTAGACTGGAGACTCTGAGGTCAGTTCACTGACTGTAGTGCATGCAGTTTTGTGTCTTTCCAAATGACTCAACAGTTGGTACAGTAACAAAAAGTATAGAAATGAAATGTTTGACAGGAGAGCCTCCACAGACTCACATTGTGGTCCATCAGTCAGTGAAGATGATGTCAGTACTGATGAGGCTGTAGAGTGTGTGAGGGATATGAATGAGGTTGTTGAAGATCTGATGACAGCAGAAAAAAACAGGCTGCAGAGAGTTTGAGCTTCTGTATAAACAGAGAGAAAGAGACAGCTTAGATAAAGAAAAGAAAGACATGAATGCAAAGCTCAGTAAAGATGAAGTTATTACTGTGATGATATGATCATCACGGTATCAGAAGCTGATTGATTGATCTGTTGGTTGATAGATGTTTTTAGACACCAGCTCAGCAAGTGCAGTGAGTGCTAACATAGAAGAAAAGGTATTATAACACAATAAAGCCCTGAAGCTTATTTGCATTATGATTTCTTTGGGTATTGGGGTGTACAGGAGAGAGTTAAAGACAGCAGCTTTGATATGGCAAGAATCACACAAAAAACATTTAATCAAAAACAATCATTCAAAACAATACAATGCAATACAATCACAGGTGGGTACACCCTACTCGTCACTCAATTAATAAATTTAATTCAAAGTCTGTCAGAAATAAATACATCAATATACCAACATTTCTTCACAGCCCTCTCAGCAGATTAAATACAAATAAAAAGCATGTTATTGATCATTGTTGACATGAATAGGTGTATGAATGTTGACATTTGGATGATGTCTGTAGAAGGCTGACATTACAATGATCCACAATAACACAATGACAAAGGATTAAAGAAAAGCTAATTGATTAGGACATAGTAATGTTGATCTACACCTTTAAAACCTGAACACATCTGATTGGATTATGAAGTGATTTTATTCAACATAATTTATTCTTTATTCAGTTTGAGTGGCTGCAGGTTGTCAGAGATCAGCTGTGATTATCTGGTCTCAGCTCTGAAGTCCAACCCCTCCCATCTGAGAGAGCTGAACCTGAGTAACAACAATCTGCAGGATTCAGGAGTGAAGCTGCTGTGTGGTTTTCTGGAGAGTCCACACTGTAGACTGGAGACTCTGAGGTCAGACACCATTTTTTACTTTTTAATTAATATGATGTGAAAATTGTGCTGACAGTAAAGTGCAGACATAAGGCTGATATTATACTGATCCACACTGAGTATCTTAATGCTAAAGTCTGTTTTCTTATTCAGTATTTGCTGTTTCCAACATTATTATGAAGCTATATGATGTTTATACTGACTGAATAGTTTAAACTGAAGATACTTTGATTTTATGACTCCACTATTCCTAGACTAGATGTCTTTTTTTTCCTAAACTTGTACATTCTAAACCTTCTTCAGCTCTGAACAGATTATTAAACACTGAATGATTTCAAGCAGGAACTTTGTCTTTTAAACTAACATCTTTTATTCTTCATTCAGATTGAGGGGCTGCAGGTTGTCAGAGATCAGCTGTGATTATCTGGTCTCAGCTCTGAAGTCCAACCCCTCCCATCTGAGAGTGCTAAACCTGAGTTACAACAAGCTGCAGGATTCAGGAGTGAAGCTGCTGTGTGATTTTCTGGAGAGTCCACACTGTAGACTGGAGACTCTGAGGTCAATTCACTGACTCTCTGTTACTGTTGTAGATCTGATATGTTTAATTAACAATTTAACCTAATTTATGTTCATACATAACCTACATTCATGAAGTTGTAAATTTCCTTTCGTTCATATTTTAATGTTTGTTGAACTAAATTTAGTCTGCAGTCACAAAGACTTCTGTTTGTTAAAGAAACTGTAGAAAATGTCCACTGTTAGTTGTTAAAGTAAATGAATGTTTATAATTGTTTGTAAATGGTCACATCTGGATACAGAAGATCCTCTGAACTAATATTTGTTTTAAACTGATCAAGTTTACTGAAGGAGAAATATTTCTTTGGTTTCTGTTGACACACACACACACACACACACACACACACACACACACACACACACACACACACACACACACACACACACACACAGGTCAAAGCATGTTTCCAAATGCAGCTGTTTAAAGGATCAATACAGTATTGATCCTCTAATTACAGAACTGACTGAGATCATCATTATCATCATCTTCATCCGCTTATCAAGGATTGGGTCGCAGGTGTAGTAAGTCTAGTAGAGGACCCCGAACTTCCCTTTCCCTGGCCACATCGACCAACTCTGAATGGGGGATCCCGAGGCGTTCCCAGGCTAGATATAGTAGAGATATAATCTCTCCACCGGGTCCTCGGTCCGCCCCGTGGCCTCCTCCCAGCTGGACGTGCCAGGAACACCTCCCTCGGGAGGCGCCCTGGAGGCATCCTTACCAGATGCCCGAACCATCTCAGCTGGCTCCTTTCTACGTGAAGAAGCAGCGGCTCTACTCCGAGTCCCTCACGGATGACGGAGCTTCTCACCCTATCCCCAAGGAAGACGCCGGCCACCCTCCTGAGGAAACCCATTTCGGCCGCTTGTACCCATCATTTCGCTTTTTTCGGTCACGACCCATCTCTCATGACCATAGGTGAGGGTAGGAACAAAGATAGACGGGTAGATCGAGAGCTTTGCCTTTCGGCCCCGCCACTTTTTCGTGACAACAGTGCGATAAAGCGGCCACAATACTGCCCCTGCTGCCCCAATTCTCCGGCCAATCTTCTGCTTCATTCTACCCTCACTTGTGAACAAAACCCAGAGGTACTTGAACTCCTTCACTTGGGGTAAGGACTGACTGAGATCAGCAGCATGTTATTGATCAGTGTTGACATTCAATTCAATTCAATTCAATTTTATTCGTACAGCACCAATTCACAACAGAAGTTATCTCAGGACACTTTTCAAAAAGAGCAGGTCTAGACCGAACTCCTTATAACATTATTTACAGAGACCCAACAGTACCACCATGAGCAAGCACTTGGCAACAGGGGCAAGGAAAAACTGCCTGTTAAAAGCCTGACACCTAGGACAGACCCTTGGGCTCTAGGTGGGTGAGCGTCTGTCTCGACCAGTTGGGGTGAGAGAGAGAGAGAGACAGACAGACAGCAACAAGAGTATTGGCAATGGCAGTCAAGCAGGACCATGGCAGGAGGCTCCACCAGGATCGATAAGAACCTGCGAGACGAGAAAGCACAAGAACTCCGGGGAAGAAGTGAAGTTAGTAACATGCATTAATGGGACATGAATGAGTGCAGAAAGAGAGAGGAATAGAGGAGCTCAGTGCACCATGGGAAATCGCCCAATAGTCTAGGCCTATAGCAGCATAACTAAGGGATGGTTCAGGACTCACCTGATCCAGCCCTAACTATAAGCTTTATCAAAGAGGAATGTCTTAAGCCTACTCTTAAATGTGGTGAGGGTGTCTGCCTCCAGAACCACAACTGGAAGCTGGTTCCACAGGAGAGGAGCTTGGTAACAGAAGGCTCTGGCTCCTGTTCTACTTTTAGAGACTATAGGAACCACAAGTAGCCCAGCATTCAGAGAACGTAGTGTTCTAGAGGGGTAATAGGGTACTATGAGCTCTTTAAGATATGAAGGGGGCTGACCATGAAGAGCTTTATAGGTGAGGAGGAGGATTTTAAATTCCATTCTAAATCTAAATTCTAAAGACATGAATAGGTGTATGAATGTTTTGCTGACATTTGGATGATGTCTGTAGAAGGCTGACATTATGATGATCCACAATAACACAATGACAAAGTCACTCTACTCATTTTAGAGAAAAGCTCAATGATTAGGACATAGTAATGTTGAGCTTCACATTTAGAACCTGAACACATCTGATTGGATTATGAAGTGATTTTAATGAATATAACTATATCTTTTTATTCAGATTATGGAACTGCAGTTTGTCAGAGATCAGCTGTGCTTCTCTGGCCTCAGCTCTGAAGTCCAACCCCTCCCATCTGAGATATCTATGGCTGAGTAACAACAATCTGCAGGATTCAGGAGTGAAGCTCCTGTGTGATTTTCTGGAGAGTCCACACTGTAGACTGGAGACTCTGAGGTCAGACACTGAGTATCTTAATGCTAAAGTCTGTTTTCTTCTTCAGTGGTTTAGTCCATTGACTGTGGCAGAGCAATGTTGAGCTCCACATTTAAAACCTTCATATAACAAGAAGAATCTACACTGGATAATTCACTCTGAACCTCTTAAACTCTTGACTTCCATTTTATATTCCACATCAAGGTTTGATTTTTTAAAAATCAAATAAATAAAAAATCTCTATTACAACTATCAGACAATAACAAATATATTCAGTATTTGTTGTTTCCAACATTGTTATGAAGCTATATGATGTTTATACTGACTGAATAGTTTAAACTGAAGTTGCTTTGATTTTATGACTCCACTATTCCTAAAAGAAATATTGTAGATGTCTTTTGTTCACATTTTCTAAACTTGTACATTCTAAACCTTCTTCAGCTCTGAACAGATTATTAAACACTGAATGATTTCAAGCAGGAACATTGTCTTCTAAACTTACGTAATTTATTCTTTATTCAGAGTGAGGGGGTGCAGTTTGTCAGAGATCAGCTGTGATTATCTGGTCTCCGCTCTGAAGTCCAACCCCATCTATCTGAGAGAGCTGAACCTGAGTGACAACAATCTGCAGGATTCAGGAGTGAAGCTGCTGTCTGATCTTGTGGAGAGTCCACACTGTAGACTGGAGACTCTGAGGTCAGTAGAGGGTTGGAATCAGTCCATGCTGGTTTCAGCAGTATTGTACTAAACACAGTTAGTATCAAAGCAAAGATCCAGTATTTGCTGCTTTCCTCAGTGAAGCTGTGAGAGGAGGATGGTGACAGACTTCAGGGTTGGACAGAAAGACAGAGAGAGACTGTAAACACTGATTTATAACTTCTGTTGTCTGTCTTATTCTCTCCTCAGCTGGAAGTGATCTCTGTCAGAGTGTGAGTGGTGAGGAAGGAGGTTGTGTTGAAGGATCAGCTGTGTCCTGATGATCCAGAGAGGTTGAAGCAGCAGCATCAGCTCTGACTGGGCCATGTTACTGGGAGGTAGAGTGGAGAGGAAAGCTTCATCCAGCAGTGACTGACAGAGGAATCACAACCAGTGGAGATGACTCTCAGTGCTGCAGTCTGAACTGCTCTGAGATCAGCTCCACTGTCAGACACAATGTCAAGTCCACCATCATCCCTGTGTGTTCCTCTGGATGTGACAGAGTATCATCAGTGTATCTGGACTGCTCTGCTGCTGCTCTGTCCTTCTACACAGTCTCTGCAGACACACTGAGACTCCTCCACTCCTTCTGCTCCACACTCAACCACCTCCTCCACCTGGAACCTCCACCTGGATTTTATTCTTTTCATTCATTCACATTTCTTGTTCTATCGATAACACTGACTGTAAAAGTGTTGCACTACACTCTGGTGGTGACAACAGACTCACCTTCACCCGGAAGAACCTTCTACATTTCTGTAAAATAAAATATCCATTGGTATGTCTTCATTAGGGTTTAATGACCTGAAAATACTCATTGTTGTGTTGTAGTTACCTTAGAATGAGCCGAACAAACCAAACACAATTTTAACGGCCACCGTAGTTCCTCTTTTGTGCTTAGAAGTGGAGGGCAACTGCAGTACACCACCAGATGCCAAATCTTACACTCTGCCCCTAAAATCTCCCTATTGCCCATGTGCAACTGCTGCTGCTAATATTTGTACTATTTGTGTTATCTGTTGTTTGTGGGTTCTTACTGTTTGTGGATTCTTACTGTTATTTGCTACTGTATTTATACTGTTTTTTCCCTATCCACTTTGCTGCTGCAACATTGGAATTTCCCCATTGTGGGACAAATAAAGGAATATCTTATATCTTAAAGACCACAGGAGAAACAACAGAGATTTCACCAAAAACTGGAACAGAGGGGATAACAGAAGATATCAAACCTTTACAAAGATAACACATCTATTTAAATATTTCCAAATATGTAGTGTAATTCAGGCTAGGTGCAGTCATACCAATGCCCTCATTTACGTATCACTGAAGAACTGGTAACGTCAGATCTCTGTGCTAAAGGAAAGATCTCAGTTATATATATAGGTAATTGGCAGGAATGTTCACAGACTCTTCAGATCTTCAGAAAAATATTACAGAGCAGGAATGGGAAAATACTTTTTATAAAGCACAAACATTGTCTATTAATTAACGGGTTGAGGGGGGTCTAAATGATGTAACAAACTTATTTTGAAAAGTGTCATGTTATATTCAAAATCAATAAAGATATGTGATAGACAAACTCAGATATCAGGACAAACGTGAACAACATTCAGCAATATGAACTCCAACTTACAGCGAACAATAATAAATCCAACATACCGTCACTCACAGACCCCGCCTCATTCACCAGATCTCAACACTTTTTATGCCGACGAGTACGAGAGACCTCTGAGGACCTTTACTAGGTTAAGATTGCTGTTCATCAAACTCAACCTAGTTAGCTGTGTTTACCTACCTTGAACAATGGTTTTGGTTGTAGATCAGCTGTAACCAAACCAACAAACTACAAGCTGAAGTCAGATCTGCTCTTCATCTGTTGTTCAATCTCATATCAGACACCCTTCTATGATCACTGCTGTGTGTGTGTGTGTGTGTGTGTGTGTGTGTGTGTGTTGTTTGACAGTCTAATAGCAGACACACACTCATTTTCCTGCATCTACAGCTCACTGAAGGACAAAGAATTTGGTTTAAACAGGATTTTGTGCAGTGTGTGTTTGATACTACCACTAGGGGGCGACACTGACTCAATCTGCAAGTCTTCCAGTTCCTGTACTTCTGTGAGTAACTGGCCTCAGAGTTTGGATGTGAACTGTTAATTTACTGCAGACACACAACAAACAGCAGGAACAGGAAGCACATGGTCCAGATACACAGCTGAGGCTGGTTGGTACCACTCCAACATCCACAGAGAACTGAGCTCCAGGTTTTTGTTTCTTTTTCTAAAACTAGTGCAGTGCCCGTAGGAAGTATGTATTGCTATAGAAAATTCAGAGGTTAAGTAGCTTTTTCATGAATGGCCAAATGAGGTTGTGTTTGAAGGTGGGACGTCAGGGACATTTAGGTTTGTTGTGAAATGTGTAGATTGATAACTATTGTGTTTTCATATAATTTGGCTTTTAGCAAGGACACTGTAGGGAGTTGAACCCCATTCCACTAATGTGAAAGTACCACACCTCATGGTCAGAGCATATAAATTCTGAAAGAACAAAGTGAACTACATCTGAAATGGGATGAAACCTGGCAGCATAAACAGACTAACTTGTGGCATAGCCTACTAAATGAACTGGGCAGGACATATTATTTAGCCCTGTAATATAGGCTAGCATACATCAGAGAGAGAGAGAGAGAGAGAGAGAGAGAGAGAGCGAGAGCAATGGCAGTAAGGGTTTCCACATCAAAAAAATGTTTTGAAACTACCAAAATGATGAGGATCCAAAATGAGTAGTGGAAGTGTGAAGAAGCAGAGAGTGGGGACAGGGACAGAAGCCCCATTCACACTGCCGTCTGCATGCAGGGATCCAGCGCCAATTCTCCGCACCCTCCTCCTGATTCTGTGGGAAAGTTTCAGATGCGGCGAGGGGGGAAATGTCGCTCCGTCCCTGATCCGTGTCAGGGACGCAGGAGCGAGGGTGTGTCGGTCAGGCAGTCTGATAACTGCACAGGTCTCTCACTCAACTTAATAAAGAGAAATGTCCCACAAAGCAACGTTACAGGACCAAACAACAGTAACGTAGTAACTGTAACTGTCTTTGGAAACTTATATGAGGAAAAAAAACGTGGAGAAGCTGTCCTCCTGTCTGTCCTCCCGCCTGTCCTACCCACTCTTCGTCATATTTCTCCCCGAAAAACAGCATCTGTCACCGGCGAAAAACTCACGGAGTGTATGCATGATCAAAACTCACCGCGACCGCCAGCCCTCCGGACCGAGACATCAGTTTACTTTCCACCGGAAAACATTCTCCGTCTTGCGAGTGAGGGAGTCAGACAGCGTCCAGTTTACTGCTGGTCATTATGTAGAATTATGTAATTTAGAGGGAAAAACGTAACTTCGTCACTTTCCAGGATGTTTGGTGGGTCAGGATCTCAATCACTACACATTAGGGCTCTGCAGTGATTGGCTCTGCAGTGATTGGCTCTGCAGTGATTGGCTCTGCAGTGATTGGCTCTGCAGGGATTGGCTCTGGTGAGCACGTGGCTATGGTTGACAATGCTAGCGGAATTCTAAATAATTTATGAAATAATTTATTAACGGCTGTCATTCATGGGTAGAAGCTCATACTTTTATCTGCTATTGAATGTGAATGTGTAATACATTAATATTAAATAATAAAACTATACTAATAAAGAACAGAATATATTCCGGACCGCAAGATTATTATTGTTGTTTTATTATTTATTCTAGTTGTTTCGTACAAATTAAAACTACCCCTTCATTTACACATAAAATATTTGTTATTGTTGTTATTATTGTTATTTTTTTGTTTGTAGCAGGTCTCTATGCTATTGTCGGTTCCTTCAGCACACAATCTGACAACTCTGGTTCGTTGTACCACACAACGTCCCGCTCGCACTGTCCAGGTCCAGCACAATCAACTCACCTGGCACTGCTCTCACAAGCCTTCCCCACACCTCTCTCTCCTGCAGCGTAAACCACACCCAACTCCACAATGTTAAGTATGATGTTTGTAATGGAGACATTTTCAGAATATTGCACCCTCCTGTGAGATACCATCAGTGGCCCCAAGTCAATCTGAGTTTGAGAGTCCTGTAATAAATAAAATATATAATGCAAAAAAATATATGAAGTGGAGAAAATAGAATAATTAAAGGGGTGTTAGTTCAGTTAGTTGTCGTTTCTTCTTTGATAGGGTGTCAATATGTTTTAAAAAAGGCTTTCCTGGTTTTTGGAAAGTTTTTAGGGAACCTCTGAGGGAGAACCTGATCCTCTGGAGCTGAATGCACTGCAGTATCTCCTGAATCCATCTATTATGAGCAGCTGGGGAGGAAAGTGTCCATTTAAGGAGAATGGGTGGTGAGTGAGTAGAAGTAGTGAATAGAAGGGCATATAGGGGATGGTGAAAAGGGCAGTGAGGGGATCAGGGTCTACAGTTGTACCTGTCTGCTTGTTTAACCAGATTTACCTTTAGATGGCTTTCTGTTCTGATCACAGATCAGTCACAGCAGTTCAAGATATACAAGTATGTGCTGCGCGATAAACAAGATATTCAGGTTTCAACATTTTCCTCCCATAACGTGAGCAAACACGTTTGTTCCATTTGGTCAAAGTGGTTTCACACTTAATTATTTCTCCTGCTTTTGTTCTGACAGTATGAGGCTGAAGTGGAAATATCAACTTTTGTGTTTGTTTACCCAGTGGTACACACTGTGTTTAATCTGAGGAGGAGACTTGGCTGTTCTCCAATCAGATTGCCTGAGAACCGGTTTGGATCAGTCAAGCTGAGAAGAATAAACTACTGAGAACACGACTCTCTGATTTCACTTTGCGATGACAGAGGAGAAGCTGAAGTCCAAACTCCAACAGAGGGTGAGTGTTGATCAAACTGGTTGTTTAGATTGGTGTGTGCTTAATGTGACCCTGTTCACTGGAGGAAATTAATTTGATTCAACTTTATTATCATTGTAAGTACAGGTACAAACAATTAGCATCAACCAGAAGTGCAAACTAGTAAAGTGCAAAGTCATTTACAAATGTACAGAAATATGTAAAGAAAAAGTAATAATAACGTTATAGATAAATGAATGAATATACTGGCAAGATATTTACATTATGAACAGTATTAACAGAATAAATATATACGGCTAAAGATATTTCCAGTATGAGATTGAGACAGTTCAGTGGGAGCTCAGGGGGGTGGGGGGGTCTCCTCGACCCAGAGTTTAGCAGGCTGACAGCTGATGGAATAAAGCTGTTCCTGAGCCTGCTTGTTGTCTGGACGGCATCAAGGCTGGATTACCAACCAGGCAAACACCCAGAGGCCCTGGACCCCCAAGGGCCCCAAAAGCTTTGTGAAAATGTAATTAATTACACATTTCCTCAGGAATCAGAAAGTACAAAATCCTGCAGCTTTAGTTCATTTTGTGGCCCAGTCTTTTAGCAACCCTGTCTCCTAGACATTACATTTATTTACTACTGTAATTATGTATGTACAGTATATGGAATATGTACTACTGTTTCACCAAATCTGTGCTGAGAGAAACATAATCACTGGATGGATTACATCAAGTGTGTTCCTGTGAAGGAAGAACTACATTATTTTAGATGGTGGGAGAGGATGGAGGGCGTACAAACAGTCCTGTCACCAGCAGAAATATTCATTATTATGATTGATTGTGATGATTATCAATATTTCACTGATGCAGTTTAACAGAATTCAGGTATAAATTAATGAGTTGAGTTCAATTTTGTGAAGGGCAGCGGGACCTGTTGTATGTGTTTGATGTGATTTGTAATTTATAAAAGAAAACTACAGTATTACAGTTACACTTAGTTACAGTTTTGTGTAAAACACTTTCATAATGACATTGCTGGAGTTTACTTGCTACAAGCAGATATTGTATTGTGAATATTGTCAGTAAAACAAATTAAATCCTTTATCAGTGAACATTTTACTGATACCTTGTTGCAGATTAGTATTATATAAGCAAGTTGCTTATGTAGGCGTCCTGTGCTTACATGGTACATATTCCTTAATAAAGTGGTGTTTAACCATATTACCACAATAAGAGCCCAACAGCACATTTTTACCCAGTGGCCCTGGATAGGTTAATCCAGCCCTGGCTAGGGTGACCAGATCCCAACAAACCAAATGTGGGACAAAGAGTGTGTTTGTGTGAGACCCATTAGCAATGCTGTGATACAGCCTAAACTCTTTATTTATAATATCTCTGTTGTTGCTGTATTTCCTTTTCTTTGTGGTACTTTCCATCACATTCTGCCTAAATCTGCATAGCTTGTGTATTTGTGGTGACTCTGTTTTCCCAGTTGAGTGTAGCGCAGCAGAGACGGTAACGGGTTAACCTGCACTTGATCCATTGTGCGCAGTTTGATTGACATAAAACACAGCCCTGCGATGATAGCCTTATTTCACAACCACTGCAGTCTGCAAATCTCTGTCCTGCAGTGATGTGACTTTTGTATCTAGAGCCATTCAGAATGTGGGACAAGGGATGAAAATGCTGTGCAGTCAGCTGGTTACACTAGTCCTGGCCGGTGCCTGGAGGCACAGATTCAGGTGAAATACAATATAGAATACAATATAAAAAGTACAAATAGGTACTAGAAATGTTCCTGTGTTGAGATAACAGAGTGAAGTACTACTGAGTGGTAAAAAGCTCTCCTCCAGTCAAACAGTTCAACTCTTAGAGGGAGAGACTTCAGAGCACCTGAAGTCGTGTTTCCTCGTGTTTCTCATGCACACAGGAAAATATTCTGTGTGCACAAGAAAGAATGTGATGAGCACAAGATGTTTTGGAGAGGAAACTATCTGGTGTTCAGTGGAAAAGTATTCAAGCAGACAAACAGGAAGGTTTCCTCTAATCAGATGTACTGATGGATGAATGACAGCAGAGGAAAGATCTTTCAACACTGAGCTCATTAAAGTGCTTTACATAAGACACAGATACAACAGAATTCATGAAAAAAGAATAAACAGAAGAAGACAGTGCAGTATTGTAGAGTAAGACAAAGACCAAAGTCTAATACAGTATTACTATTACCCAGTTCAAAATAAAAATATGGTAATAAAACTATTTAAAGAAAGAATTAAACAAATACAAATATGCAGTGTATAGTGCAACTTTACATTAATGCCATCCTAAAAAAGAGTCATAAAATTAAAGTTGACACAGATGTCTGCTGTAAAATGTCTAAAGAAAGTAGTTTTCAGGGTTTGGGGGTCTGATCCCCTCTGGTTGTTCAAAGGAGACCATGATCAGGCTCACAGGGTGTTCAAAGATCCATTAGATATTCTGGTAAGTGATAGAAAAATAAAAATCAATCCTACAGTGTATAGGAAGCCAATACAGTGATGCTAGGACAGTGTGATGTGGTCTGGCAGCTGAATTCTGAACCAGCAGTTAAAATGTCTCTAAAAGGCTGCAGACTCAGATTTGACATGTTGTCAGAATGAGTTCAGTCAACAACAAAGTGCTTCTTCCTGTTTCTGCCAGAGTGCGTCATCAAAGGAGAGAAACACAAAAGAAATCTGTTGGTACATGTAATGTGACTCTCCTTGAGTCCTTTACGAGTTAATCTCACTGCTCTTGGTTAATGAGTTCTAACGTGGAGTGTTTGTATGACGACATCCGGACAGAAGGAAATAAATGTCCTCTGACTTTATTTTTAGAAACTAGAGTCCAAAGTAGAGCAGAGATCAGGAGGAAAGACAAAGGTTTTTATCTGCAGTGGGTGTTGGACCAAATGTTTCTGAAGAAGGATCAATCTACATGCAACTACTCTCAGCTTGGATTTTTAAATTATCAGCTACAAAGAAAAAGTCTGTTGTTGAAAAATCTGCATTGATTATTGATCTGTATTTGGAGGCTAAAGGAAACAGGTAATGACGTTTTCTCTAAGTCTAAAATATGACACTTTCAAGTTCTTTTGAATCAAAACAACACAAGAATTCCCTCAAAGTCTTCCATGTGCAGCTTTTTGGAGACATTTTGCTGCAGCAGTAAAAGCATGTGCAGGTTGCTGCTGTGATTCTGCTGAGACAGTCAAGAGTATTGATCAATGCAAGACTTCTCTTTGTACTGGAGTACTTTCACTGTGTGCTATTGCTACTTTACTTTTACTTAAGTAAAGATCTGAATCCTTCCTCCACAGTACTGTTTGTATCACTGACAGCTCTTTGTTTGTGTTGTGACTCTCATTCAGGTGATTTGTCGGCGTGAGACTCAAAATGAGGCTCTGTGATGAATCTGAGGATGGAAACAGTGCAGACGAGCAGACAGAGTCTGCCGCCTCCAGCTGCTGCAGAAACACCGAGTGGCTCAACGTGCCGCGTTTCAGCCGCCACCACCTGTCTGCAGAGTGAGACTCATCATTCAACTTTCAGCAATGAACAGAATAAATGGGTTTAAATAGGAGCATTTCAGCAGCGTTAATGCACTTCAACTTCAAAGTCACCTGTTAACTTCCAATTCATCCCAGGTTCTTTGTTTGAAGGCAGCTGCTTCATTCAGTCAGTATTGTGCCATGTTCTGTATGTTAGGACTGTGTCTTTAAAGTGACACTATACAGCTTCTAAAAGGAGAAACAGCTCATTCTTCCTCTGACTAATGAAAAGTTCAATTCTTAAGCAATAAAACAGACCCTGGATCAGTTCAGTTCACTCAGGAGTTTTACAGCCTCACTTGGTCTGGTATGACCAGTAGCTCATGGTGGCTAATTTCAGCTAATGTTAGCAGACTTTAGATGGATATTGTTTTATAGCAGACATGATTGGGTCCTGGGCCGTCCACACTGAGAACAATAACAAGAACTATAAATACTTTTAAAAGCTCAAGTGGATGGCAGAGTCTACCACACATCTGTAGACAACGACAGTGGCTGACGATATCGTTGGGATCGCTTCTGAGGTGGAACGTAACAAAGCACAAATACTGTACTTAAGTTGTTTAATCAGCTATCTGTACTTTAATAGAGCATTCCTTTTTATATATTTATGATTTATTACTTTTATCTCCATCATTTGTACACAAATTTCTACTCATGTTAAAAAACAGGCTTGTTACTGTAGTTTTAATGCATTTGAGGGGAATTATTGATCATTATTTAACATATTTTTATCTTTTTGTAGCCTTCCCAACATCAACACTAGTGTATATCACATAAGACAGATGTAACAAGAAGAAACAGATGGAGAGGGAGACTCGATCATGTCTGAAGTTTCAGTTAGTTTTGTACAGAAACAGCCGGTAGAAATGTCCCTCAGAGGGTATTTTTACTGTACTTTTAGTACATTTCAGAGCCAGAACTTTTTTTACTTTTACTTGAGTAAAGAAGCGATCGCTCAGCAGGCTGTTCTCTGGTTTTATTCAACACAATTTATCTTTCTTTTTCCTTCATTTAAACCAACTTTTGTGTTTTGTTCACAATAATCTTCCTTATAACAAATGTCCCAATTTCCATGATATTAAAGCATGAAGGTTCATATATTAAGCAGCTGGAATGACATCTTTTACAAATCATACAAATACAAATGTACAAACTTACTGTTGAATTAAACAGAAATACTTCAATTTTCAAAATCCTAATTTGTACTATTGTACACCAACAGTGAGAAAATCACATTTCCCCAGTAGCATTAATAACATTAAACTCACTCTGTTCACATTTGTACTGAACACTACATATAAATAACAATACAGAGGCCTACATTATACAGAATACCTTTTTAACCTTAACAAAATATTACAACATCTATATTCAGTATTATCCCGGTGACGTGACCTGAATGAACGACTAGACAACTTGAACCAAAGTTTAAATAACCTTCACAAAGCTTTAGCTAAACAAATGCAGAAAAAGGTGTGTGAAGGAGCAGTGACCATAAATAAAAGAAACACAGTAAGGCCACCATGTTGTTTACAGTTTGTTTCATGGGAGCAAGACTCCACTGCAGGAAAACTCAGTTTCTGAACCGACTAAACTACTGTTTTACACATCAGACGTTGTCAGAACAACATGATGGAGGCTTTAAAAGTCTTTAGAAATGCACTGTGACAAGATATGACACACTAATGCATCAGTAGGCGTCATATATACAACTTATTAAACACTTATAGAACATAATATTGGGCTGCAAATTACACATAAAGACACATTTTACCTGACACATACTGTGAAATGCTCTGTAGTTCTGATGGGCTCTCTGAAGTCCTCACTGATGTCCTCTTTTTTTACTAAAGTAGGAATAAAATTTGACGACAACTCTTGTAACAGTATTAGATTCTCCTAACTCCCCTCCTCTTTGTGAACCCTTCTGGTTTTCTGTTTGTTTCTCTGTGCATCAAACAGCAGTAACAGCTCATCAATGACTTCATCCATTTTCCTATGAAGCTGTGACACAGCTGGATCGTCCATCGGCGTGGATGCTCACATTGTTATAGTTATTGTTCTCGTTGTGGACGGCCCTTCAGGTTCCTCACTTTATGACTCTTCTCTACTCACGGCTCTGTTCCATTTCACTGTTTCACAAACAGTTATGGTCACTTTAAACTGTCTTTCAGTGATGACAAACAGATCAGCATGCCGGAGTTTCCAACAGCCGTTTATCTGCTGATGAAACGGGATAAATCCTCAGAGCTGATCGATTTCAACTCCAACTTGGACCCTTCAGTCACAAAGTGAGATCACTTCTAAATACGTGTTAAGAGCTCAACAGGCTTTTCACTAAAGGAATTGTTTGACATTTGAGGATTCTTGCAGAGAGATTTTGAGAGGATCCACATGCTGAATATAAAGCTGGAGTAAGGTGGCAGTTAGACTGTTGTTTCTGTTTTTGTACCAATGAAACAAACTATATATAAGATGTTAATGAGTGAGTTGTAGAGCTGTTGGTACTGTTGGACTTTGGACAGAGCCAGGCTAGCTGTTTCCTCCTACTTCCAGCCTTTATGCTAAGCTAACCAACTCACAACCACTCTCACAAATTGAAGTGAAGTTTCCTTTTTTCTCTTTAACATTTAATTATGAGCCAAATCCCCTGACTGGTACAATATAATAATAGTTTATTTTCTATTTTAAGGTTAATTCTGGGTAAAATGATGCTCCTTAGAAAAAGCTGGAGCTCCCAGTGATGCAATAAATGTAGAAGATGAGTGTGTTGAACTGGTAGATTTGTGTGCAGAGCAGATATCACACAGCTTTACATTTAATTTCAGACTGGTGTGCGTGAGGACGAGCAGTAAGGACTTTGAGCTACCTTTCTAGATTCCAGCCCGAACTGTGCAGTAAGTTCACTTCTCATTGATCATATTACACCAGGCTGTGCTGCTCTTCAATCACACAGAAACTATATCAATATGTTCCAAAGGTTATGATGCAGTCCAGAGGAACCAATCCTTGAGGAGTGGCCACTCGATGGGAAACACCAGATTCAAAGTGAGCTTCATTATTCCAGTCGAGAGATGAGAAATCTCTTCTACAAGTTTGGACATCAGCACTTGCTGTTTGGAGCTCTACTTGTAAATAATCTGCCTTCGTGTGATAAAGGTTGTTCCAGTTCAGCAGCACAAAGCTGCTCATTTAACGACGTCGGGGAGCGAGAACAGTCACATGTGAAATGAACTTTGCTTGTGCAGCTCACAGCCTGTATGCAGACCTACAGCTGGAAATGAAAATCCAAACTGAGCTTCTGCAGTTACATTTTATTGGAGGGGGAATTTTTTTAAAGTGAATTATTTCAGTTTTCATTGGTTTTTCTACATTCTGCTATACTTCCAGTGGTGACACTAAAAACAGGGCAAAGACAGAAAGACGATCGCCACGGGTTAGTTAACCTTGGTGAGGCTAAATAGAAGGCTACAAACATCCTCATAGAACTGGAGTTACATCCAGATAACTTCTAGTTCCTTAAAGCCCCTGTGTGTGGAATTTAATTTGATTATAACAGCTATCAAATATGTTTCTGTTTGTCGTGCAAATGCTACACACAGGAGCTTTAAAATATCTTCACATTAACATCAATATGTTCTTCATTCATTCCAGACCCCTTTAAGGTATTTTCCCGTCTTCTAGAAATCACATTTATATCCAATTAATTAAAACAAAATGCAGACCAGATTATATTTTATATCCACATAATGAGGAAATATGTCAGTAAAATGTCCACTGACAACATATTTAATTTGTTCTCCACCAAAACATCCAATCTTGTGATACAATATCCGTTTGTAGGAACTTTTTTATGGTTCTGTTTAGGCAACAAAAGCACCAACTTTAGAGAAAGATCAACTTTCATTGTTTGTTTGTTTATCTGTTGATTGATTCTCTGAGAAATGGACGACATAGATTTTGTAATTGTGTGTCTGTTTGTGTTCTTCAAGGCGTTGGAAACACATATCAGTGATTTGGTTTGTTAAAAATCTGCTTTAAAGTCACAACCAATAAGTCTACAGTTCTATTTAGAGATGAAATTCTACTTTTATACAGAACGTCCATATCTACAAGAGAACTGTCATACATTAGTTCATATTTGTTATATTACAATGAGATCAATGGCATATAAATATTGATTAAAGTCAGTCTCAGTCAACAGAAAACACATTTTCCGTTTTACTGTTAAATATTGTTAGAAACAGTTTAGTTCATATATTTTTGAACTCCAGCAGAAAGAATTGTTGTACGTCTCAGTGTTTTCTCTTTTCTCTGTATTGTTCTCATGCCGTTTGCATTCTAATACTTTATGTTTGTATCATAGATGTGTATATTCACCGTTATATACCTGGATGTACATATTGTTTGTGTTTATGAGTCCATCAGTCATCTGAGCCCACTGACAGTTCTTTGGTCACGTTGTAGGAACATTGGTGAATATTTAAGAAGCAGTCTTCAAGGCTAAATGTGAGAGCAGAGCATTAGTAAAGAATTCTGAAATACTGAGGTTATGATGGTGATTTCTTAAGGTTCCCATGCATCCTGGAAAACCTGGGAAAGTCCTGGAAAATGACAATATTTACCAAAATGTTCCTGAGAGCAAAACGCTGTCCTGAAAGAGGTTTCTAATGCAGAATAAATACAATCATAATCACATTGATAGACTTTATTCATGATCCTGTGAATGTGTTTTTGGTGCTGGTCCCAGTGGGATTCAAACTGTAACTGTGCATCACAACCTTGTTCTGTTTTTATGACACATTTTAAGTGTGAGCCAATAAAGGTTTAAAATCTGATTTGAATCATGGTCCTCTTTGTCTGCATGTAGAACAGTGTTTTTTAATTTGAAGCAAAGCAGAGCTGAGAATTTACAGCATTAATAAAAACCATTAGCAGCTCAATATGTGACTGTGCTACTGAATAATAGTTGTGGGTTTTTTGACTCATATGAGAAGAATATTTGACAAGAGTGAAGCATTGTGTTGCAACAATATAAAAAATACTAAATCACATCAGTGAAATCAATATTTTCTTCCTTTCATGGTCATTAACCATCATTTATTACGGTAATTCAGTTTATGAAATCAGGGTTTTATTTGATCTTGTGTGCTGGCTTTAATTTCAAATCTAGTTTTATCACTTTAAATCAAGTTGAACTAAATGAAGTCAGTCAGAAAGAAAGTATTCACATCACCAGTTCAGTTTTCACTGCACACAGATATTGCATCCATTCAGATAAACCAGTCTGAGGAAAACAGTGGAAATGGTGACATCTGCTGGCAGAAAGCAGCTCCAGCAGGAGCTACAGAACATGAACACTGGCGATAACAAGTGCTTCATCATTGATTTCTGTGGGAAAAAGCTCCACAGGTTGACTTTATGTGTCTGTAATGTGAAAACTAGCAGTTACACTTAAAACTAAGAAACTGAACTTCATTTGGACTAAAAAACATGATTTATTTGTTTTTACAGCAAAAATCAAGGCAGCATTATTTGTTTTGTAGACATGATTAATTAATATAAAGTCTAGAATCTGCATATTAAACACTTCTGATTTTCTTTTCCATCAAACATTATATACAAAATGAAATATTAAAGCACTGACTTTCAGAAATAGAAATATGTGGAAATTGACTGCACTACTCCATCGTTCCACAGGGTGGAGCTGCAACAGAAAGCAACACTGAAATATCCAATTCAATGTGTTCATCTACAGTTCTGTTGTCATAAACAGAATGAATGTGTAGAGGCAGTTTGGGTTCAGAATATGTGAATGAATGAAAGAATAAAATCCAGGTGGAGGTTCCAGGTGGAGGAGGTGGTTGAGTGTGGAGCAGAAGGAGTGGAGGAGTCTCAGTGTGTCTGCAGAGACTGTGTAGAAGGACAGAGCAGCAGCAGAGCAGTCCAGACTGAGATCACTTCCAGCTGAGGAGAGAAGAAGACAGACAACAGAAGTCATAAATCAGTGTTTACAGTCTCTGTCTGTCTTTCTGTCCAACCCTGAAGTCTGTCACCATCCTCCTCTCACAGCTTCACTGAGGAAAGCAGCAAATACTGGATCTTTGCTTTGATACTAACTGTGTTTAGTACAATACTGCTGAAACCAGCATGGACTGACTCCAACCCTCTACTGACCTCAGAGTCTCCAGTCTACAGTGTGGACTCTTCACAAAACCACACAGCAGCTTCACTCCTGAATCCTGCAGATTGTTGAAACTCAGGTCCAGCACTCTCAGATGGGAGGGGTTGGACTTCAGAGCTGAGACCAGATAATCACAGCTGATCTCTGACAACCTGCAGTAAATCAATCTGAATAAAGAATAAAAGATGTAAGTTTAGAAGCATCATATGGATTCATAAAACTATTGGAAAAAACAAATACTGAATATATTTATATTATTGTCTGATAGTTGAAATAGAGATTATTTATTTATTTATTGGTGTGAAGCCTGAGAGCTAGTTCAGGCAGTCAACTCGAGCTGCACTGATATAAACACATGACATGCCTCTCTCCATAATCACTAACCAAGCGCTCCCTTCCAATCTGGCGCTCTATTTAAACTGCAACATTTCCCAGCTCTCCCTCTGCTCTGTCAATGCCGCTGTTGCCCTGCATCCATATTGCTGCTGCTGCTGCTCTGTAAGCCCCACCACCACCCCAGCATCCACCTGTAGGCTCCGACTGGGGTTAAGGTATTTGCTATTGTATTTGTTATTGTCTGATAGAAAAAATATTGATTATTTATTTATTTATTATATTCATCATAATGTAAAACATTTTTAAATCATGATGTTAATATAAGATTAATTGAAAAGTTTAAGAGGTTCATAGTGAATTATTCAGGGTAGATTCTTCTTGTTATATTCAGGTTTTAAATGTGGAGCTCAACATTGCTCTGCCACAGTCAATGGACTAAACCACTGAAGAAGAAAACAGACTTTAGCATTAAGATACTCAGTGTGGATCAGTATAATATCAGCCTTATGTCTGCACTTTACTGTCACCACAACAAAGGATAAAATGGTGTCTGACCTCAGAGTCTCCAGTCTACAGTGTGGACTCTTCACAAGATCAGACAGCAGCTTCACTCCTGAATCCTGCAGATTGTTGTAACTCAGGTCAAGCTCTCTCAGATGGGAGGGGTTGGACTTCAGAGCTGAGACCAGATAATCACAGCTGATCTCTGACAACCTGCAGTTAGTCAATCTGAATAAGGAATAAAAGATGTAAGTTTAGAAGCATCATATAGCTTCATAAACATGTTGGAAAGAGACAATATTCAATATATTTGTTATTGTCTGATAGATAAAATATTGATTATTTACTTATTTATTATATTCATCATCATGTAAAAAAAATAAAATCATGATGTTAATATAAGATTAAATGAAGAGTTTAAGAGGTTCAGAGTGAATTATCCAGTGTAGATTCTTCTTGTTATATTCAGGTTTTAAATGTGGAGCTCAACATTGCTCTGCCACAGTCAATGGACTAAACCACTGAAGAAGAAAACAGACTTTAGCATTAAGATACTCAGTGTGTGTGTGTGTGTGTGTGTGTGTGTGTGTGTGTGTGTGTGTGTGTGTGTGTGTGTTCTGAAGGATCAATATCAATGATCAGACATTATTCATGAAAACACATTGAAATCAACAGAAACCAAAGAAATATTTCTCCTTCAGTAAACTTGATCAGTTTAAAACAAATATTAGTTCAGAGGATCTTCTGTATCCAGATGTGACCATTTACCAACAATTATAAACATTCATTTACTTTAACAACTAACAGTGGACATTTTCTACAGTTTCTTTAACAAACACAAGTCTTTGTGACTGCAGACTAAATTTAGTTCAACAAACATTAAAATATGAACAAAAGCAACTTTACAACTTTATGGATGTAAGTTATGTATGAACATAAATTAGGTTCAGTTGTTAATTAAATGTAGCCCTGGATAAAATACTTTTAGACTTCAAGATGTGGATAATTCATGTAGTCATCAGACAGTAAATAGTTTAAAAAGAGAGGTTTAACATGTATAAATATGGTTAAAAACATGGATATAAATACTGTTTAAAATGTAAATGGAAGGTTAAATATGTGTTTAAATATAAGATGTATAATCTCTACAGTTCAGAGGTCAAAGGATGAAGTTCATGTAGATTAACATAGTTTGTTTTATATGTATCTGTATTACACACTGTATTCAGCCTTACAGCCTAACCTGGTTCATGCATGATATGTCAATCTTTGTGTTTCTTTATTGTAATTGGACTGTTCTGGATTAAACAGCCAACCAAATTACATTCTCAGGTAGAGAGTACTTAGTCGTACCCTGCTAGCTCTGGTGTTTGTGGAGAAAGGCAGAAGCTGATTAGTTATCCTAAGGGTTTGAACTTTTGTGATCAACAAGAGGTAAATATGAGTCTGTGAACTTTTTCCTGTACTGTGACTTATTGTTATAGTGGAACAAACGAGTTGTTACCAGCATGGACTGACTCCAACCCTCTACTGACCTCAGAGTCTCCAGTCTACAGTGTGGACTCTCCAGAAAACCACACAGCAGCTTCACTCCTGAATCCTGCAAATTGTTGTTGTCACTCAGGTCCAGCTCTCTCAGATGGGAGGGGTTGGACTTCAGAGCTGAGACCAGATAATCACAGCTGATCTCTGACAAACTGCAGTCCCTCAATCTGAATAAAGAATAAAAGATGTAAGTTTAGAAGACAATGTTCCTGCTTGAAATCATTCAGTGTTTAATAATCTGTTCAGAGCTGAAGAAGGTTTACAATGTTCAAGTTTAGAAAATGGAAACTCCAAACACCTGAACCCAACAGCAGGTTGAAAACTGTAAAATACAAAAAGGTAAAAAGAGCTCTCATTAATATTAATGACAACGTGCTGCTGCTTCAATAAAGACGTAGTGACTTCAGCTCTTAACCTCTGCCAGCTCCACCAGTGGCTCCATCTATACAAACTCATGTTGTGCAGCCAAACACAAAGAAAAACCCACAGAAACTGATTGAAGGTTCCACTCAAGATCCTAAAGTTTCCAAAGATACCAAATATGTCAGGATGGATTTTGGAGAAATGGGAAGAAAATGATTCACAGAATATCTACAATATTTCAACTGCATGGGACGGTGCAGTTTCTTTTCTTTATCTAAGCTGTCTGTAACCCAGGTCACTGAACTGAACTGAGTCAACCATATGAGAGCAGACCCTGTAATCCTGTAAGTGAAATCTGACGGTGCTCTGTAACCAATCAGAGTGAGGCATTAGGTACAAACCTGTAGCAGGTGAAGAGCATTAGTTAATGAATGGGGAGGCTGTAGAGAGTGAGGAGCTGCTGCTGGTCAGTACAAGACAAAGTTGTTTTTAACATCTATATTCAATGTAAACGCTGAAGTATTAATGGTTTAATTTTTAATTATTTTTAATAATTCCTTCCATCAGACACTTGTTTGTTGTTTTGCCTTTATTAATTTTGGAGTAAATCCTGGGCAGAGATCAAGTTCCCCGATGGAGGTAGGCTTTTAGGGGCCACGCTCCAGAAGACAGACATCTGTGGATGTTTGTTTATTGTAAGGCTGGGCTTGTTTGTGTGTGTAGCCAAAATAAAAGTCCCGTATTTATGCCTCAGATTGCATATTTTTCCATATTTGATGTACTGTAAAAACAGCACCTCCAATATGGTCAAATATGCCGTCTCCAGGTATAAATATGGAATTCTATTGTTGAATTTCTCCAAATTGGTGCAGTAAAAATGCTTGACCACGGACTCCTGGCTCCAGAATAGACGCGCGGCTAAAGTTGCGTTTAGCTCATTTCCAGCTGGAGAAGGAGGAACGGGAGCGGGAATTTCAGCTCCGGTTGAAGCGGTTGGAGGCAGAGACCGCGGTAAAAATGTGCGAGCTGGAACTACAGTCTAGTTCAGTTTCTTCTGATTCATCCGGTACATTTGATGTGAGTAAGAACATTTCTTTGGTTCCCGTCTTCCGAGAGTCTGAAGTGGAGGGTTATTTTAGTGCGTTTGAGCTCATTGCTGCTGCTCTGCACTGGCTGAAGGATGTGTGGGCAATACTGTTACAGTGTAAACTAACGGGGAAAGAGCAGGAGGCTTGCTCTTCTCTTTCTGTGGAGGACAGCCTCTCTTATGAGAAGGTAAAGAGTGCGATACTGCGGGTATATGAGCTGGTGCCTGAGGCATATAGACAGCGTTTTCACAGCCTTAGAAAGACAGCAGGCCAGACGTACGCTGACTTTGCCAGGGAGAAAGGGATCCTGTTTGACTGCTGCTGTTCAGCTTGTAAGGCAGATGACTTTGTTTCTATACGTGAGCTGATGTTGTTGGAGGAGTTTAAAAACTGTGTGCCTGAGCGGACTGTTGATGTAAATAGGACTGTATATTTAAATAGCGTAATAGCTGCTATATCTTTCTCTGGTCCTAAGGCAGATAAACAATGTTTTTTTGTCATGAACCTGACCTTCTAATTGCCGACTGCACTGAGTGGAAGCATAAGCAGCAGGCTGCAATTTCAAAGCAGCCCAAGGGTGTGGGGTTAGTTAAAACGGTGTCCTCCAGTTGTTCACCGTCCACCGTTCAAAAAGTGCCTGATGAATGTTTCAAACCTTTAACTTTCCCTGTATTTGTCTCACTCACAGGAATCCAGTCAGTGTTGTGAGACACTGGTGGCTCCCAGTCATTCATCCTTTCCACTGTGCTGCCTTTGAGTGAAGAGTCTGCCTGTAACGAGTACCATCGTAAGAGGTATCATGATGGGTTTTGTACCTGCACCTCTCCACCGCGTTCACATTCAGTCTAACCTTAAAACTGGTTTCTTCCCGGTAGCTGTGCGTTCCTCGTTCCCCATCGATGGTATAGACTTTATTATGCATTATGGTTCAGTATGGACCCTTGTGTTGTAAGGCGAAATGTAATGTAATGTCAATGTAATTGAAATGTGACAAATAGAAGTAATTGATTAAAATGTATAAAAAAGTTCATTCATTAAAATGCATTCATGTAAGAATCATTTAATAACTGTTTAACTTTAGTTTGATGGAAACAGTTAAAAGTATGGCTGTAAGAAATTCTCATGAACTTCCTTTTTAAGAGACTCGCTGTCATTTGTTGCCATAGCGACGAGCAGAGATTGGAGAGGAGAAGCAGAGAAACTAAGGAGCGAAATACTTTAATGAAGGTTGATTTAGAAGCTGAAAAGTAACACCTGCTTGGTCGGGGATTCATGAGGATTTTAGATGAGGAAACCACAACGGTTTTGGTCAGGTTTTTTCCCCCTGTTTCAAGTTGGACTTGAATGTTGCTTCTTCTGCAGTGTGTGGGAGATGACACACACACACACACACACACACACACAAAGACCCAAGTTTCTAGAGACAACTCAGCTCCATCGTGCCAGAAAGGATCCGCAGTGTACGGATGGACTGTTGGTAAACTCGCTGCCAGAGCGTTGTTGGTGTTATTCTTTTTCCCCCTTTCTCTCTTTCAACTGAACCTAACTGAAATGAAGTATTACTACACTGTATTCTGTCTTCATAATTGCGAAAGTGATGATTTAAAGCATAAGTGTTTGACTTGAAGATTTTTGGAAATGGTGTAAATATTATTTTTTTCTTACTTGTGAAGGGAATTAAAAAAGAGTTTACTCAAGGAGATAGAAATGAACCAAAAATAGGTGCATCCTATTAACATAAAATAAGATGGTTACTTATAGACCGGTCCAATATAAAAACTATCTAAACCAAATTATTTCAAATCTCGGTGAGAAATAAAGGGGAAGTGAGTTCTACTTTACTTTTTGTTACCTGCAGGACTATTCACTGGTTCTAATATTTGTTATGTGTATTGTCTATGTTAAATTTCAGTAAACTGGCAGCTTTTGTATTTAAAGTACCTGGTCTCTGGCTTCATTTTGTATAATATGTTAATGTTATAATAATGATGATAGCGTGAATAAGAGACAGTTTGTGTACATGAAGAAAAAAAGGAGATCAATTCTGTTTAATAAAGACAGAACAGCCTGCTGAACCATCACAACTAACGTCTCCAGTCTCTGCTTTTCCTACAAAACAGGACACAATATCTGTTCACTGCTCACTCATGCTTCAGGCCTGTAACATGAACAATGTAAAGTACAATCTTTAACTTCCTGTGTGTTCACTATAAAACCATTACGAACAAACTTATAACTGTATTGAATTCTCTAGAACTTTAGAAACCTGCCTTGGAAAATGATACACATCTTATTTTAAATTCTAAAAACTCCTTTATTTTCTGCCAGGTTTGCATGTCGCCTCCATCACCCAAAGGAAGATAAATGGAAGGAAAATGTAAAAAGTAACAATTATTAGAGATAAATAGAATAACTGTTCATTAACTTGACAGCTATAAACCTCCAACTGAAAAATCAACATGTTTGCACTCACAGCATCTGAAACAGCTCAAGAACATCTGTGACAAATACAACTGACATATATTTTAAGAAGAATATTTTAGGAATAATTCTAAAATAATTTACAGCATGACTGATAAACACTGCTTTATAATGTTAATGACATCTGGACTTACACAGCCTTTCTGAAGTTCCTCACAGCTGGAATCAGTCTCTGTCGTCCCTGGTCTGATGTGTTGTACTTCCTCAGGTTAAACTCATCCAGAACCTCCTCTGACATCTGCAGCATGTAGGCCAGAGCTGAGCAGTGGATCTCAGAGAGTTTCTTCTCTGATCTGTTCTCTGACTTCAGGAACTCTTGGATCTCCTGATGGACTGAGTGGTCGTTCATCTCCATCAGACAGTGGAAGATGTTGATGCTTCTGTCAGGAGAGATATCATCTCTGTTCATCTCCTTCAGGTTGTTGATGGCTCTCTGGTTGATTTCTGGACTGTTGTCTGTCTGACCCAGCAGGCCTCCTAAGAGTCTCTGGTTGGACTCCAGAGAGAGGCCATGAAGGAAGCGAACAAACAGGTCCAGGTGGCCATTTTCACTTTTGAGGGATTTCTCCATGGCTTTCTTCAGGAAGTCATCCAGGGACATCTTCCCCAGGAAGTCCTCCAGTACCTTTGTGTTCCTGTTGGTGTAACAGTGGAACATGTAGACTGCAGCCAGAAACTCCTGAATGCTCAGATGAACAAAGCAGTAGACTGTTTTCTGGAAGATCACACTCTCTCTTTTGAAGATCTCTGTACAAACTCCTGAGTACACCGAGGCCTCTGTGACATCAAGACCACACTGCTCCAGGTCTTCTTGGTAGAACATGATGTTTCCTTTCTCCAGCTGTTCAAATGCCAGCCTCCCCAGCTTCAGAAGAACTTCCCTGTCAGCCTCCATCAGCTCCTGTGGACTCTTCTTATGTCCCTCATCATACTTCTGCTTCTTCCTCTTTGTCTGAACCAACAGGAAGTGTGAGTACATGTCAGTCAGGGTCTTGGGCAGCTCTCCTCTCTGGTCTGTAGTCAACATGTGGTCCAGAACTGTAGCAGTGATCCAGCAGAAGACTGGGAGTAGACACATGATGTGGAGGCTCCTGGAGGTCTTGATGTGTGAGATGATTCTGTTGGACAGATCTTCATCACTGACTCTCCTCCTGAAGTACTCCTCCTTCTGGGCGTCAGTGAAGCCTCGTACTTCTGTTACCCTGTCAACACATTCAGGAGGGATCTGATTGGCT